CCCCCGGGTGTGTGTTGTTTGAGTTTGGGGAACGAATGAGAGACAGACACGCTGTGAAACTGCNCATATGCATGGACACGTGTCGTGCGGCGAGGGTGGATAGTCTATAGGATACATGGCAATGTCGCGGTTCCAGTTTTTCCGGTTTTGGTGGTGTGTGGTGGTGTGTGGTGGTATGTGGTGGTGTGTGGTGTGGTGGGGGGGTTGTTTGGATACCCCCCCGGGTGTGTGTTGTTTGAGTTTGGGGAGAGAATGAGAGACAGGCACGCTGTGAGACTGAAACACTTTGTGCCAGCCAAACTCCCAATCAATCAAGACCACCGCTGGAAGAGACAGATAAATCTGTGAGACTGAAACACTGTGTGCCAGCCAAACAATTCCAGGGTCTGCTCTTACCCACGGTGCTCACCTTGTTTTTATATACCCTGTCGCTCAAAACTCACCAATGTGGTCTGCGCCAACACGATGAAACTGGCCAGCGTGCTGTGCGGGACCATCGATTGGAACCACACCGATTGTAGTTGACTGCGGGACCACCGATTGCGGTTGACTGCCGGTCATGCCAGCGGTGTTCGACCTTACAACACATACAATGTACCATGGCTTGCAGCAATCACCCAGACTGCTGTGGTGTGCCCGAGCATGAGTATGACCGAACGGTCCCGTCGTGTGAAACATGCCTTGGTATGCTATGTCCGCCTGCGCCATGGTCCGCTGGTGGTCAGCGAGGTCGCTGGTCGGCTGTAAGTAGAATATGTATATCGTTTTCCCGTTAGATCCACCCGATCCGTCGTTCCGTCCACCCCTCAATCTCTGCTGTTGTTGCTGTCGCTGAGGGCATGTTGTTTGAGACCGCCACCACACTGGCATGTCGTCAGACAAGTGACCACACACCAGGTACGTAGGTTGGGCTTGCGGTGAGGTGGATGCCATGTTGGTGCACAGCAGTGGAATGAAAGATCGCCCTGGATCGCGGATGAACGCGGAGGAACACTTACCCGCCGTCGTCCGATCATGGATCGTGGATCGTCCCGAACTTCTTTCAAGCCGTGGACATGGACTACTGCTTGGGGCCGTTACAGCACAGCCATGTCTTCAGCGCACACCCGCTGGCCAATTGGCCATCATCGTACGTATGTATGTATATACATGTGCATGGACACGTGTCGTGCGGCGAGGGTGGATAGTCTAGAGGATATATGGCAATGTCGCGGTTCCAGTTTGTCCGGTTTTGGTGGTGTGGTGGTGTTTGGTGGTGTGTGGTGTGGTGGGGGGGTTGTTTGGTTACCCCCCCGGGTGTGTGTTGTTTGAGTTTGGGGAGAGAATGAGAGACAGGCACGCTGTGAGACTGAAACACTTTGTGCCAGCCAAACTCCCAATCAATCAAGACCACCGCTGGAAGAGACAGATAAATCTGTGAGACTGAAACACTGTGTGCCAGCCAAACAATCCCAGGGTCTGCTCTTACCCACGGTGCTCACCTTGTTTCTATATACCCTGTCGCTCAAAACTCACCAATGTGGTCTGCGCCAACACGATGAAACAGGCCAGCGTGCTGTGCGGGACCATCGATTGGAACCACACCGATTGTTGTTGACTGCGGGACCACCGATTGCGGTTGGTTGACTGCCGGTCATGCCAGCGGTGTTCGACCTTACAATACAATGTACCATGGCGTGCAGCAATCACCCAGACTGTGGTGTGCCCGAGCATGAATATGGCCAAACGGTCCCGTCGGGTGAAAGATGCCTTGGTATGCTATGTCCGCATGCGCCATGGTCCGCTGGTGGTCAGCGAGGTCGCTGGTCGGCTGTAAGTAGCATATGACGTTTTCCTGTTAGATCCACCCGATCCGTGGTTCTGTCCACCCCTCTATCTCTGCTGTTGCTGTCGCTGAGGGCATGTTGTTTGAGACCGCCACCACACTGGCATGTCGTCAGACAAGTGACCACACAGCAGGTACGTAGGTTGGGCTTGCGGTGAGGTGGATGCCATGTTGGTGCACAGCAGTGGAATGAAAGATCGCCCTGGATCGCGGATGAACGCGGAGGAACACTTACCCGCCGTCGTCGGATCATGGATCGTTGATCGTCCCGAACTTTTTTCAAGCTGTGGACATGGACTAGTGCTTGGGGCCTTTGTAGCACGGCCATGTCTTCAGCGCACACCCGCTGGCCAATTGGCCATCATCGTATATATGTATGTATGTATGTATGTAGATATGCATGGACACGTGTCGTTCGGCGAGGGTGGATAGTCTATAGGATATATGGCAATGTCGCGGTTCCAGTTTTTACGGTCTTGGTGGTGTGTGGTGGTGTGTGGTGTGGTGGGGGGGGTGTTTGGATACACCCCCGGGTGTGTGTTGTTTGAGTTTGGGGAAAAATCAGAGACAGACACGCTGTGAGACTGAAACACTTTGTGCCAGCCAAACTCACTCCCAATCAATCAAGACCACCGCTGGA